GTATTTAATTAATTATATGTTCACTAATTACATGGAATTTGTTTTAGTTGTTCATTAATTATTAGTACAAGGAAATCCAACCAAGTAATTAGTCATATTACAATTCGGTAATCAACTAAATATTTCATTGCACTTCTAATAAATCAAATATAGAAACTTGGGAGATTCGTATTCTAGTGGAAGTACTTCTTATCTACTGTTTTAATTTAGTTCTTTACTTCGTTTGATTAATTGAGTGTTAAAGCAAGTTTAATTTAGTTTAATCAAAACCCCCCGATATATATATATATATATATATATATATGTATATATATATATATATATATATATATATATATATAATATATATATATATATATAATTTCATAAAAGTATTGAAATGCTTTTACACAATACGTTTTTCTTTTTGTTAAATTAATTCCAATTAAATATTATATGAGAAATTGACTTATCAGGGTAATTATCTTATCAATTTGTTAATATTTGGATAACTTCATTTTTTGTACATATCTAGGTAACAAAATTGTTGGAAGTTTATACATATGACCATTATGACCGGATGTTGCAATTTACAGCCGATCATAATGGTCATATGTGAACACTTCCAACAAGTTCGTTATCTAGATGTAACACCCAAAATCTAGAAGATCAATTATGGAACAAATCCCCTTTTCCAAGGACCAACTCGGCGATTTGGTGAAGGAAACTCGACGAGTTGGACACTGATTGAGAAACCCTAATTTTAGGGTTTTGCACCCTATTTAAACACCTTAAGTCCCAGGTGTTAGCCTCATTCCCAGCCTCTATAGCACCTAACCCTAATCTCGAAACCCTAGAGCCTCCTTGAGTGTGGTGAGCTCATTGTGGGTGTGTTTTGGTGTGTTTGAAGCTCATTAAAGGAAGAGAAACTTGGTGCAAGGTGGTGGTTCAAGTAGGAGCTTTCAAATCTTGATTCTCTGCTCCATTTCCAGCACATTTCGGGTATAAAGTTCTAACCTTGCTTTATATTTTCTTAGAACTCTTCTTGGGTTGGATTGTATGCTTTTAGCCATGGATGGGTGGTTGATGGGGAAGTAGAAGTCCCAAGTGTTTATTCTTTCAGATCTATGATCTTCATGAGCTCTTTTGGCATAAAGGTGCCAACTTTTTGGGTTTAAGGGCTTCATGCATTTATTAAGCCCTTCTTTTAGCCCTTTTTAAGCTTTTGGGCTCCTTCTAGTCATGCTTAAGCATAAAGATGGAAACTTTACGTGGCCATCTAGCCTTATGGGGTCAGATCTGCATTTTGGGGTATGGTCTTTGATGATTAAGTGCTTAATGGTTAAGCCTTCACTCTTTTAAGTCTAAGGTTTGGGTTTGGACCCCTTTAGGTGGTTCCTAAGGGTAAAGTTGGAAACTTTACCCTTCTTGATCTCATATTGGTCGAGATCTGAGTTGTGGAGTCCCTAGAGTCGATAATGTTGACTTAATGTATTAAGATGTGGGTTTCTAGCGAACTAGGTGAGTTTATGGATAAACTCGACGAGTTGGCTTGGCTTTTCCGACTTCGCGGATTGTTAGATGAACTCGACGAGTTGAAGGATGAACTCAGCGAGTTGGGTCAACTCAGGCTGTTGACTTTGACTTTTGACCTTAGCCTTTGACCAAGTTATTCTAAGGGAGTATTTGAGGTAATCAGTTTTGTAATCAGGAAAATTATGGGCTTAGGATAAGACCCATATGGGATTGGGCCCAATTTTGAAAAATTGGGCCAATAGTGGGCCTTTGTGGATCTTTTGAGTTTGGGCCTCAGTTTTGGTTCATGATGGGGTCAGGGGTAAAATGGTTATTTTACCCCAAGTATGGTTGGTGGGCCTTGGGTCGGATTCCAATTGTTAATTGGGTATTATGTTGATCTGATAGTTCGGAGGTGTCGTCAGGGCAGCAGCTAGGGAATTCTTTCAGTGAGCTTCTGCATTCGAGGTGAGTCTCCTCACTGTTCTATGGGTCAAAGGCACCAATGTTGGTCCATTTTGGTTTGTGTATTGTAGGAAGACCAGGGGTGGCCCTTGGCAATCTATATGCAAGACCAGAGTCTGAACTCTGGCAGTTAACTTATTAGTAATGGTAGAATTGTATGCTACTTGTCTTTGTGGTGCTTGCATGGAAGACCAGGAGATGGCTCCTAGCACTTGTCTGTAAGACCCAGGGTTGCCCGGCCTAGCAAGGAAGACCACGAGGCAGCTTGTGGCATAATAGAAAGACTATGGTTGGCACATAACACTCCCATTGATTATGTTTATGTGTGATATGATCATGATTTGTATGTTATGTAAGGCTCGTTAGATATGTTTGGTATGTGGTATTTGGGGAACTCACTAGGCTTTGTGCTTACGGTTTGTGGTATATAGTTTCAGGTACTTTCGTGTCGAAAGGAAATGGCCTGACTTGATCGCAGCGCATTCACCCGTGTTTTCCGCAACGTGTGATCTTTGGGAATGAACTCTGATAATTGTCTTATTTGAAATACTTTCAAATGTTTGGATAAAGTTACAATGGTGTTTTGATTATAATAAAAAATGAAATTTTTATCCTTGATTTTTGGGATGTTACACTAGATGTATACAAAAAAAAAGTTACCCAAATATGAACAAAACAAAAATGTAATAACCTTGATAATTAAATTTTTCTTCTTTTTTATTTTACCTTTTAATTTTGATTTGATATAAAATTTAACCTAAATGATTAATATTTTTAAAACCACACAATTTTGGTAAATATCTTTTTAAAATACACTACCTTGGTTATAAAAATAAAATAATAATAATAATAATAACTTATAATTTACAGGGAAAAAAACATCGTCATTTTATAGAATTTTATTGTTTAAGATATTAAATATAAAAATTAAAATTTACTAGAGATGAAGATCAATAACATGAACGTAAATCTCTGATAAAAGTTTGAATATTTTGGGTTGGATTATGATTTAATCCAACTTTTATTTTTTGAACAGAAAAGTTTTGATTATTTTATATTTTTCTCAAATTAACGAAAAAATCCTTATTTTTTTTCAATAGAAAATGTCAGATTATCGTATAAAATTATTTAATCGGGACTTTTCTGTTCAAAAAATAAATGTTATGATTAAACCGTAAACTGATCCAAAATATTGAGATTTTATCGAAGATTTATGATAACATGAAATGGAACACAATCTTCAATGAAATTTGCTCTATGTATTACATGAATTTAAAATACAAAAAATAGAAGTAACTTTTATCTAAATCAATAGTATTGCTCTTGTCTCGTATATATAGAGTTATTTGATAATTGTGCTACCAAAAACGGCTCTCAACATGTCGTGTCCAATTTAAATGCTCATAAATTGTCATAATTATTATTTTAAGAAAATTTAAATAAATCTATTAATATTACAAATATTATAATTGATCGCCTTAATAAAAACGGAAATTGAATTATAAATGTAATTACTTTTTCGTTTTGTTCACATCTGGGTAACTTCGTTTTTTTTATACATCTAGGTAACAGACTTATTGGAAATGTTCACATATGATCATTATTATTGACTGTAACTCTGTAACTTGCTACAGGTGGTCATAATGGTAATATGTGAACACTTCCAAAAAATTTGTTATCTACATGTGTATAAAGAAACGAAGTTATCCGGATGTAAACAAAATAAAAAGATAATTACTTTGATAAGCCAATTTCCTATATTATTTTTTATTAAGACAAATCAAATAATATGTTTGTTTTGTGTGGATACTTCCTTGCTATCCATGATGGATATACATAGTTAGACAAAAAAGAACACGTTACCCAAATGGTACATATATTTTCAAATTATTCCATTTTTTCTTTCCATTTTCACCTTTCACCCCTTTTGAGAGAATAGTCATTTTTTTAAGTATAAAATCTTACATTTTGGATTATGATTTGTTTACACAAAATATTACGAACCTATATTCTGTTTCTTTTGTTTTTATAGCATGTATAAATGTGGCTAGTCCATAAGAATTGTCATTGACAATGTTTGAACCCGGTCTCCTAAAGTTAGATGTGTTAGTTTTTTCTTAATACCCGAAGTTTTTGTCTTTAGTTGTTTAATTTTTTGTATTTTCATAATTACTATTTGTAATTAATAACAATAATTTTGGCCGCGTTTGTTTTTATCAAAAATATTACAAAATAAGTGTATAATTTAGCTTGTGTTTGTTTTTTCTTAAAAGATATTTTTAACCTTTTATGTCTGCGGACAAGAAATGTTTTAATAAAATACTGTTTGTTTTTTTTCAAAAATGATAACTAAAAAATGTTTGTGCTCCTTCTTTTCTACTAAGCAATTAGAATTTGAATCTTGCCAATGGGCAAATGTTTTAATAGAAGACTGTTGTTTAAAAAAAAATGTAGACCTAAAAATGTTTGTGAGTCTTCTTTTCTATCTAACAATTCAAATTCAAATATTGCCTATGGGTGCAACATGTAGTTCTCCTACTTATGGTGTGGGAGTGCTCATATACCTTTTAATTTATTAGACTATAGGGAATGGATGTGACTTAGTGTGTGGCATGCCACCCTTGACACAACACACACCATCCCTGGTGTGTGGCTTATGCTAAGCTCGGCTACCACATGTCTAGCTTCTTCTTCTCTCTATCAAATGTCTCCCTCTTCTTCCACCATCTCTCATCTCTCTTCTCTCCCACTCCTTGCCCTTGATATGAAATAGATGTCACCACCACCATCTATGTGAGAGATGAAGTGGAGGGTATTTGTCATAGTAGAACCACCACACCATTTCCTCTAGCCTTATAAATGTAACTAATATACTAGAATAAACATATAATAAAATAACATGATACACTGATATATCTTATATTTGTTTTTCTCCCAAAAACAATCATGATGCTCTAATGATATGGTATAAAAGATCATTATTCCCCCGAAAATACCTTACCCTGTGTAATGCAGCTTGTTCTTGCACTAATGTGTTAGATATGAATAGTATTCTTATGTTTTCATTTGGGAACAGGTTGTTTATTTTTATTTGTGTAATAACAATTTTCTTTTAGAGTTTTTGTATTATATATCCTTCTGATGATTCAAAGTGTTAATTATTTTTACAAAAAGAAACTACTATATATACACTTCAATTACTCTTTGTAATTTAGTAATTTTCATCTTTAACTACAACAATTTCAAATGTTATTCATCGGAGATATGAATGTTAAACCATACTATCAGCCTAGATTTTAAAAAGAAAGTTATAACAAATATATTTACTTGTCTACAAGATTTAAGTCTACTCTTATATATATATATATATATATATATATATAATATATATATATATATATATATAATATATATATATATATATATATATATATATATATATATATTTGGAGTGAGATTACCAAATTGATGATTGTTTATATTTGTGTGATTACATGTATAGATAAAAAGCGTGTATGTAGAGAAGTAATATTTAAGCATTGAATTTGCATTTGGAATTTGCTTCTTTTGATGCAAAAGACAAAGGCTAACACTTTGCAAAAGCTACCACACGCAAAAGGTAGAATCACTTTCTAAGACAGAGCAGTGACGAGTCAAAAGTATCATAAGCTCCCCTCCCCATCTTTTCCTTTCAATCACCAAACACACACCAATTCTGATTGCTTCAGCAAAATATTGCTGGGTTGGGTATGAATGATCAGTGAGAATTAGATAAAAACACATTCGATTTTGGGGTTTTATTGATCCGATATTCCGTAACAAAATTTGTAGGACCCGTGAAGGTGAGACATCTTTCTCTGTTTACCAGCATGTACCGTGTTTCTGATTGGCAGAGAGCCAGATAGAATCTTATTGACGTTTGTTCTTGGTGTCGTAATCTCTGCCATTTGATAATTGTCGCATGATTTTGATATATAAGTTTGGCGTTTCTGTTGGAATGCTTGTTAATTTTGTCAGATTATGTGTTCTTCGCTTTGGGCAATGGAGTTTCACTAAGGATTTTTTTAAAGCTGGGCCAGGGCAACTCGCGTTTTTATCTTCATACTCCAGTTGCTTTTGAAGCTCGTGAAGTGAAAATGGAATTCATTGCTTCAAGGCACAAGCGCATGAAAAGGTATGCCCCATAACTGTTCGATGATTTTACTCTGAGAAAGTTTTTTTTAGCTATAATTGCTCTGTTTTAATGGATCTTACGAAAGGGGTCTTGAATCTGTGATTTTATAAGATCAAGTGCTCACATTCACTTTTTCTTTTCTTCACATTGACAGTGATCCAGCTACAGAAAGAATCCATGATGCTAAGAACGTCATTTTCACAGCTCAACTACCTCCAAAAAAGGTGAGAAATTTTCGTCACTTTTAAAGACTTTCAGTCATTACAAAAGTTGACTTGTTAACCATAGCATTGACTTGTTCCAATAGGCTATGGAGCAGGTGAAGATTTGTCAAGAGCCTGTACTAAAACCTTGTGAAAGCATTGAAGTTAAAAACAACACTCTAAAAGAAGAGGTTTGTTTACCTTTTGGGCTTATAAATGTTCTTCTGCAAAATAAATGAACTTTTACATTGTTGCGAATGAAGTCTTTATCTTAAGCTTATTAACTTTAATCTTTTTTTTTTATGTAGATTGAACAACTCCAGAAGCAACTCCAAGATCAACTTGTAATACGCAGTGAACTAGAGAAGGCAACGACTACCAGTCAATCTTTCTTACAAGATCCTCTTGATGTAGCCTCACTTACAAAGGTTTGTGATCTTTCCCCTTGTGGTAGAAGGGCATTCAAGTCTTTTTACAGAGGAGTTACGACCAATTTTTGTCCCATAAAAAAAGAAGGGTATTTATGTCTTTTGGACAATACCCTTGTCCCACCTTTTTTTTTTACAAGAAGTTGCAGTCTTTTTGTCGACATCCAGTCCAACGCATTAAAAAATATTAGGAATTGCAACATAATGTTAAAACATGATTTTAATTACAATAATTCTCATATTTTGCTATTCTTTACTCAGTCTTCCAAGGATCTAATCAAAGAAATATCCATACTGGAATTTGAAGTTAAGCATTTGGAGAAGTATCTTTTATCATTATACCGAAAAACTTTCCAAAAAAAGGAACAATCTTTATCAAGATCAAAGGAACAACAACAACAGTTGTCGATTGTCAACTCTACAACTTTTGTAACAGCTCGAGCCTCCTTCGATAATCCACCTAAAGATTTTTGCCCCATTTTGGAATCACAGCAACTGGAAGATTCCTATGTTAATCGAAGCCACTCATCACTTTCTTACAGAACTCCACCACTTTACATGGCTGTTAATCATGCTGTGGATTCATACCATTCTTTACCCTTAGGAATGCTCGAGGTAAGATTTTAATTGTAACATTTTCTAGTTTTTGGAAATTTCAAGATTTTCTTATCGTCAACAATCTTTCAGCTTGGTAAAGATGATTATTCAAGCGTTAGTCTTTCTGAGCATCTGGGTGGATGTATTTCCAATAATATCCGTACATCAGCAAACTGGCTTTCAGAGGAAATGATCAGGTGCATCGCAAGCATATACAGTCACATTGCAGATCCACCCTTGATTCATCATCATGACTTCCTTTCATCTCCCATATCATTTCCATCACCACCAAGTGGGTCTTCACCACGAGACCAGTTTAGCATGTGGAGCCCACATTGTGAGGAATCAGTGGAGTTCAGTGGAAATTACTTTACTACCCTTGAAGTTCAAGGTATTTGCAAAAACACCCACAGGCCAAGTAGTGTTGAACAGAAGCAACGCACCTTCAGGCAAGTATATAAAAAACTGCTAGTTATTACAAACTATAGCATATATATATATATATATATATATATATATATATATATATATCTATATATATATATATATATAGTAGGAGTTATTGTGCTTTTTAAAAAGACGTAAATGCCCTTACACCAAATATCGTTTTTACAGGTCTCTTGTTTCTCAGTTAGAACAAGTTGATCCTAGAAAGCTGAAACACGAAGAGAAGCTAGCTTTCTGGATCAATATACACAATGCACTAGTAATGCATGTAAAGATTCCTTCTATTGTTTACTCTTTTTGTTCTCTGCTTTGACTTTAAATGTCAAACAAACTAATTTCAGTTTCACAACTGATATGAATATCTTTACATTTTAATGGAAAAAATGAATAATTACATCAAAAGCTAAAATAAGTGTTACACGAATGAATGTTGACAAATAAAATATAACTATAAGTTTGACATTTAAAGTCAAAGAAACAGACATAAATATCATTTTTTTTATCGTGATTTGAAATGGTTTAATTTGAATTTTGTTCTCATGATTTGTTTTCAGGTCTTCCTGGTTCATGGAACTCCTCGTACTGCTCTCAAGAGGATATCATTAGTCCAAAAGGTTAAATCAGTCATTTTACATTTCTACAAATATAACATACTTTTAAACTGTTGTAACATAATACTTATTTTTGTATGATACAGGCTGCTTATAATATTGGTGGTCATAATATTAGTGTTGGAGATATACAGAGTACAATACTTGGATGCAGACTGCCTCACCCTGGACAAGTATATTTTCATTAAACTTTTATTAACAATTTACTTTTATTGTTAATAAGAAAAAAAAAAAAAAAAAAAATCAAAGTACAATGATGTAATAAAAAGAAATGAAAGTAAGATACTATTATTAGTATACAGAAGAAATAAACAAAAAGTAGGTTGCTATTTCTTGCATTTAATTATTTTTTATTTGCTTCTAGTGGTTTCAATCTTTGCTATTTCCAAACCCAAAGTACAAGTCAAGAGATGCACGAAAAGCTTATGCAATGAAACAGCCACAACCTCTTGTATACTTTGCACTTTGTTCGGGAAGCCGTTCTGATCCCATGGTAAATAAATTCTACGCTTGGAAATTACCAAAATGCCATTTTACAAAATAAAATAAAGACAATAGGATTTTATCTACATAATTTTGTGAATTAGGTGCGAATATACACTCCTAAAAGTGTCTTCCAAGAACTTGAAGTTGCGAAAGAAGAGTACATTCATAATAACTTCAAGATCCAAAAATCCCAAAAGATGTTTCTCCCAAAGCTTGTGGATCTTTATGCAAAAGATTCGGGTTTGTGTCATGCCATTTTAATGGAAATGATTGAACATTCGGTGCCTGATTGTTACCAAAAGAGCTTCAAATCGATTAGAAATGCAAAATCTTTGAAGAAAATCGAATGGGTGGCTCATGATTTTGCTTTTAGGTATATACTTTCTCCTGATTTAGCCAAGTGAAGTTCAAAATCTTGAAGGTTTAAATAGTGGTTATTGAGATTGAGATTGAGGCTCCTATGACTAGTGTTGTTGGATTATGATGATGTATTGTAGTGTGATATGAGTGCCATTCTTTACTACTATTATTATTCTCTTGCATTTTTATGTAAATTTTCAAATAGCAAGAGGTGAGTTTGATGAGATGTATATATATATATTTTTCTCTTATTGTTTCTACTTTTGCAATATCTTTGAATGAAATTTTATTTTAAGAAGTCAAAGAACAAGTTTTGTAACAATTTCAATTTAGCAGCAACTTGAGTAAAGGGCACTAAAGGAGTTGTTTTTATATTTCATTACGCCATATTGAAGATGGATGGCTAAGGAGTTGTTTTTATTTTTAAGGAGTAATAGTATCTTTATTTATAAGGTTTTTTTTCAAAACCGAATACATCATCTTAATGTATATAAATCTAGACTAAATAAACCGTATTAATGTGCATAAATGATAATTTTATCCTTAAAATTCTAAAAAACAAATTTCACATTTTTAAAACATAATGACAAATAGGTAAAGGGGTGGGGCCTTCATACATTAAGCTGGGATTTTTGGTTTTAGGGTGTTATTAATTAACTTGTTTTTTGAGCTTAATGCGTGAAATTACTAAAATAGTTTATAAGCTAATTTCTTAAAAAACTATCCAATATTGTTTATTAATAAACTCATCAGCTTTTCCTCAAATTTTCCAAATATACCCTTATATATCTAAAATCTTATATTGTCATTTTACATTTGTCATCTAGCTTATCAATTAGGCTTTAGCAAACAACAAACACTATTACTTTATGAGCTATGAATAAAAATTAAGGAGCTGTTTGGCAACCTCTGAATGATGATTCAGAGGCCTGAATGAATTTGCCTCTAAGAATTAAAACAACCATTTTACCCTTCCTTTTATAAGGGAACAACATCAAATCATGACACAAAGACTTTGCCACAAAATTCAAAGCAATGATGATGTAATTAGTGTTGCTTCTCAACATGAATGAGCGCGTATACATAACATGAAACAAAGGCTTTGGTCAAACATTTGAATCGTTGTTTGGCATTGCGATTAGAAGCTGATTTATCATAATATCAATTTTTAGTGTTTCACAGTTTGAAAATTGATTCTGGATGTTGAGATTTGGTGACACTTAATCGCAAAATGATACCAACAGGTAGATTTTGAGCTACAACAAACATTCCTGGTTAAAAATTATGCAAAAAAATGATTAGCTAGTCGTTCATTTATGATGCTATTTTAGAGGTCTAGTGTTTTGTATCATAGTATATATTTGTTTGAAGCAATTAAATCTTTCAAAGACAATTTTTATATAAATGTAGTGCCATAAAGGGATTATATAAAATCTACTCTCCTAGTTTCCTGGATTCAAAAACATAAACATAAGCTCAAGAAATTGAATCAACAGATGAGATTTTGTTTTCAAACCACACTTCTTCCACAAAGCAATATCCCAACATAGCTGCAAAAAAATAAAGATAAAAGATTATCAGATTTTTCTAGATTAAGAAATGAGGGCTTATAGTTAGAAGAAAAAACACCTGCAAAGGATTCCAAAAGCATCATAGATAACCAAGATCTTGTTTCTTTTTTACTTAAAGGAATCAACGAGAATGTGGCTGAATCAAGTAAGCTATATATTGGTTTGTTTTACTTATTACAGAAAGAAAGACTTGATAGAAAAAGCATCAAACTTTAATCGAAATATGATCATGGTGCAATTGATTGTTCTAATTGATGGGCTGATGGCATAACAAATGTATTAGTTCTAATGTGTTTACTTAATCTGATCTAAAGGTGATAAATTATGTTTTCTATATACCAAAATCACTAACCCTAACTTTTCATAACACCGGATGGATCACAAATTTGAGCAACTTGACATCAATTTAAAATTAACACAAAAAACCAAATAACTTCTGAGGCAATTTTTCAGTGATTACCTCTAAAATCAAGATATCATTGGAAGAACAGAACTAGAAATCAAGAACGAGCTCATCTTTGCTGCCGGAGAAGTAATGAAGAACATAAGGAGCAACACGAATGGCGACAACCCACGACCCGAACATGGCAACGTGCACACGAAGCTGCTTCAGAGCAGCTTCTTTGTCTGGTTTGCGCATGAACATACCCGGAAACATCTTCGATCCGATATGTGTTTGGTTTTCCTTTTGGGATTGATGAGATTTTAGCGAATCCGAAGAGCAATTCAAAAACCCTAGCCCTCTCGTCTTTGTCGACTCCTACGCTATTTATTTGCAGATCTAAGAACTGAAACTTTTCAGCCCACATGATGTTTGATAGACATAGGCCCCATACCGGCCCAGTTTAGCATACTATCAAAAAAAAAAATTTAACACCTAATCTCTAAATATTATTAAAAAAGAACCTTAAATTCTCCATTTAAGAAATCAGGGTCATTCATTGCATTTCAATCATATATTCTAGACCGTTGGATTATTTGCTGACATCATTGTTATACCCAAAAACTCGTTGCCTAACGTTGCCTTCCGTTCGTCATTTACTCCCTCGCTTCTTCCGATCTAACCTAAAGAAACAGAGAATCCATTCGCTTCTTCTTCAATCGGCCAAGATGACACATCTTCTAATCTCCACCCCAACCCGAAGGAGGTAATGAAAGCTCACAGAATCATGGAAATTGTTCAGCTGGAACAGAAGGTTCAGTACGGGATTAAAAACCCTAGACCTTTGATTTTTGTCACTCCAACTTACGTTCGAAATTTTCAAGCTTTACATCTAACCGGATTGATGCACACATTGATGAATTTTCCCTACGAAGTCGTATGGATCGTGGTGGAAGCTGTTGGCACCACCAATGAAACGACAGCGTTGCTGGCAAAATCGAAACTTCAAATCAAGCATATTAGGTTCAAGAAGAAGATGCCCATTTTCTGGAACGCTCGTCACAAGTTGGAATCCGAGATGCGATTGCAAGCTTTAAGGTAATCATAACATATCCTATTTGAATTCAGATCCAAGATCAAACTTTAATGGATGTAATTCTTAATGATCCAGAGTTGTGAGAGAAGAGAAACTTGATTGAATTGTTATGTTTGCCGATGATAGCAACATGCATAGTTTAGAACTCTTTGATGAGATCCAAAAAGTGGAATGGATTAGTATTGTTTCAGTAGGGATTCTTCTTCATTCCAGTCATTCTAACGAAGACCCTTTTGAGGTTCAAAAGAATTTAAACGAACCAAACAACAAGAAATCACCATTGCCAACTCAAGGTCCCGCTTGCAACTCATCTGATCATTCAATCGGGTGGCACACGTTTAATTTTTATGCATATGAACAAAAGAGTGCAAATTACATTGGTGATATGGCAATCGTATTGCCCCAAAAACTGGAATGGTCTGGATTTGTAATGAACTCAATATTAGTCTGGGAAGAATCTGAGTTCAAACCTGAGTGGATCAAGGATTTGAACGAAGTTGATGAAATTGAAAATCCTCTTTCTTTGCTTAAAGACTCATCAATGGTGGAACGTAGTTGTGATTTTACAGGTGGAAACTCTATATCCATTGTTGCACCGTGCTATTGTTGCTGCCTCAGCTGTTCCAGATCTTCAAGGTAGAAATGTTTGTTTTAATGTTTTATATATCAGATGATATGATTGTTAGTCAAGTAGGGCTTATTGAGGAAAAGGGCAGGAGTTGGAACATATGAAGGTGTTGTCATCATTATTATTGTTATTCTTTCAAAAGCAATAGTTTTGAAATCTGCTTTCTTTTTATTATATACATTTTATCTACCTTTTACAAAAAAGATATAACATATCAACCAATAGGTGTTAACATCTAATAGTTTTTGAGTTTCATTTCCGGTTGTTTACTTGATTGCTAGAAGGGTACAACAATACAATGCTATTTTTTACTTGATTAGCTTACTAGCTTAGTTGAGTTTTGCAATTATCCATGATTTTGAGTTTGATGATTCAATTTTAAGCCCGATGCTACTGATTACTTGACTTAGAATTTATGTTTATATAAAACTGATATCCTACCATGATAACCGGTATATCAAATCTCGGCCCTTCACCGATATTTCATTTTTGACTGCGATAACTGCTTAGTGCCTGATAGAGTTGAATCAAATCTATTGCCATTTTCTTGTTCTGTAACCAGTGTATTCTATTTTATGTTTTTCATGCTTTTCGTGTTGTTAATGTTTTCTTTTATGCTATTCGTCAGATCGCTATGACTCGATGCTTGATAGCATAAAATCAAAGTTATTGCCATTTCAGCGAGACGGTGTCAGGTATGTAATATTATTGACTAATTTGTGTGTTATTTGGTCAGATACTCATCATCTAAATAATTCATGATCTTTTTATTGCGGGTTTATATTGCAGCATGGAGGGCGTGTTCTCCTGGCTCTGATAAAATGGGCCTTGGACAAACTCTTCAGGTAATATGGATAAAAAAAACTCAGAATGGTCTGCAAAATCTTTAAGAAATCATGTAGATAAAATGGTCATTTAGATGCAACATTTTATTAAATGGGTAGTATTTAATTATTGATTATCTCTATATTATATGTAGATCTTGAAAAAACTTGAAGGTGTTCATATGATCAAAGGACCTAATCCAAGTTATAATGACATTTGCTTCTCGGGTGCTGGAAGGTAATCTTTATTATCTATTTAACATTAATCATTGTATAAAAGTAAATAATAATAATAATAATAATAATAATAATAATAATAATAATAATATGAAAATGATAAATATTTTTATTTTCAGTGATGTTTCACAGCTATCGAAAACTTTCCCATCTGTTGATATGTTTTTTGGGAAGGGACAAAAGCTGTCATTATCCCCTGAAAACTACTTGTTCAGGGTAAGCATTTAATAATTATTTAATTATTATCAGTATCACCCCTTAATTATGCGTCATATTCCATATCCCAATGTATCCTTATCTAAAAAATTCAAAGTTTTTTTTTTCAATTTAATTACCATCTGTTTGTATGCACTTTTTATGCAGGTTGAAGTTGAATATGGAATATATTTCTTTGGATGAAGGTTTTCGATCTAAAGTTGAGAGCTTTAATATTCTGATACATGTAAATACTGCCGGATATGGTCATTTGAAAACATGCAGTTGTCGATATAGAGGTTATAGACGGTGGTTGAAGCTGTTATGAATACTAGCACAAGAAAGCAAGAAGGTTATAGACCATAGTACTTATACCACCAAAATATGTCTTGGTTGATTGTACTAACAATTCATTGCAATTGATAATTCAATTTACCAACTAATTTTTAAAATAGTAAAACTCTCTATTTCTGCTCATACTTCTTGGCGGAATTACAAAACATGATGCCAAAGATATTGTTATGAAAATACCGAGGGAAACTTCCTATTCTCATCTAGAAAAAGTTGTCCATCGTGATCTAAAGCAGAAGGTATCCCTTCTTTAGTATTTCTGCCATTTAATCTCTTTGAAACCATCAATGTTGGTTTTAGATATATTTTAACTTCAACCTACAATTTTTTTTTGCAAAACTTTCGGTATGCGGCAAAAGTCAAAATATCTATCCTTAATGTTATGGATTTCGGCTTATCTTAGTTGTGACTCACAACCGGTAAGCTACCTTTTTACAGAGAAAACGTTTTTGATATAAACATTTGGTTAATCGATTCAAATGTATAACATGTTAGTGCTTCTTGTTATATGTTAGTACTTCTTGTTATCTGGAAGCCAACCATTCTTGGGTTAAACTGACGAGATGGTATCGTTGAATAAATAACCAAGAAAAGAATGATAGCATCACTAGCCATATGTTTTGTCAAAATAATGTTGAATAAATAACCAAGAAAAAGAATGATAGCATCACTAGCGTTGAGTAAGATAATTCATTTAATAAAATTTATGTTCTTTAAAAACGTGTCGTAACATACCTGTGATATATTAAATTTAATATGAATCTTATCTGTGGCTTGAGGAAAAAACAAACTTTTCGATATCTTAAATTAGGTATGATTTTAGCTATATGTCCATCGTCATTGCAATCTATTTTTGTAATTATATTGCATATTTATTGAAAAATTATATATTTATTATATTTTTTTTCTTATTCTACAAACTTTTCAAATTTACAGTTTTTAATATGGTAATTATTATCTTAAATTAGGTATGATTTTATCTATTTTTGTAATTGTATTTGACATGTTATATTGATATTATTTTCGATATCATACCATACATAATACATATTTTAAGTATGGAAATGATATTACATTCCAAAATCTTTATGTCATATCAGCATTAACCAAATTTATATTTCCCTATAAATATAATGTCTACGATTTTTCATTCCAAATCAAATTTCTCTCTAACTAATTATCTCCTTCATTGCAGATAATAGTATTTCATGGCAACTAACAATGCAGATCAGGTCGTGTTTGATAAGGTTGCTGAAATCGATGCATCCAAAGAGTCTTTGAACATACGTGTTAAAATCGTCTTGCTTTGGAAGCAGACCTACAAAAACAATCCTAATATGGTCGGGAGCCTAGACATGATTTTAATTGACCAGCAGATACTGTTTCTACAAACTTTATTTTTTAGATTGTCAAATGCTTATGTTATTCAAATTGCTTCAAATATGTGGCAGAAAAATATGGATTAAAATCGATTTATGTTCTTTTGTTTTATTTCTATTCAAACAATTTTAATAATCAACTTTAGTCTATGCAATGAAATCTCTTATTATTCCTCTCTTTTTTTTATCAATCTGAGAAATTTACAATTATTAAAAATTTGGTGATTTTAGTTCCCGATCCCTTCACTCAATATTATTTTTATATAGCTTTATTAATTTTAATTATCAATTAAGTATGTCGATATCTTATTATTATTAATTGTGTAATGTTTCTACAAACTTTATTATTTAGATTGTCAGATTTTTATGTTATTACTTCAAATTTTATGTATTATTGCATAAAAAGGGTTCTTGATTGTATGTTTTACACCCTTAGATCAAATTCCTCGCTGGTTCCAAAACTCTTTAAGCATCTTTGGTTTTCCTTTTCTACTACATTCAATTTGTTCCTTTTCTAAGCATATTTAAGATCAGGTACGTCGCCTTTATTTTCTTTTGAACATCCCGTCTTCAGCGACTTCACTTTATAGTCTGCATTCTTGAATCAGTAGCTTGTAAGTTTTAAGTGATAAAAAACTAAGATATGTGAAGGTTCCTAAAATATCTAGGGCTAATAGTGTATGCGTATGAAACGCAAAATATTTTCATTTTTAATGT